ATATATTCTGTAAGTATATACTGTGTGTATATACTGTATACTGTATATACTGTATATATACTGTGTGTATATACTGTATACTGTATATACTGTATATATACTGTGTGTATATACTGTATACTGTATATACTGTATATATTCTGTGTGTATATAGTGTGTATATAGTGTGTATCCAGTGTGTACATGTTTACCCCCAGGTAGGCCCAGGGTTTGGACACGTCCAGCTCCCAGTAGTGCTGTCCTGTAGTGAAGCCCTGAGAGCAGAGCACCTGCCAGGTGTGGTCAAAGCGAGCCTGGTGGGCAGGGACAGGATGAGGTCCAGAGGTCAGGTGCTCTGCCCTCTGGTTGTCCTGTGACAGAACCAGGTGACCATTGGCTGTTCGAGGGTCAAAGGTCAGACAGCATCGGTCTGCAGGAGACAGTTGTGTTTGAACAGAACTGAAGATCAATAAATGATATTTAGAGCACAGTAACACTCACATGCACTGAGGCCTTCGTTCCTACCAGGGACGCTTACAGCTGCAGCACTGGGAACCACAGCTAAAACTGGCCTCTTGTCCTGAGGGGAGCCTGAGGACCAGAAGCCATCATGAGACCATGAAGACCACACAGCAGGATGAATCAAAGCAGAAGACACATTACTGTCATGGTCCTGTCCCACAGCCGTGCTCACTGCCTTGTCCAGGTCCTCACACAGCAGCTTGGACAGTCGGGACAGCACGTCCATCACACCGTTTAATCCATCCTGCAGCTTTGGACACACGTCTGTGCTGATGTCTTTGAAACATGGAACTACTACAAGGGTTGATTCCTGTAGAAAAACACAAACAYACACAGTTGTACATGTGAGGAACACAACCGTCAAGCTTTGTAGCAGCACAAAAACTAAAGYAAACACACAACTTGAAATCACTGTGGAGACAGAACAACAACTGTTCAGACCACTACAATGTTTCAGGTGGTGAAGACCAWCTGATGTCATTATTAGATCCAATCTGACCTGCTGTGTGTAGCTGAAAATACACACACTGCACAAAACACACAAAGAGTGTCCACAAGCAGAGTTACAGTCACAATCTATCTTTGTTCATCACATTTGTTTACTGTGGGTTTAATACATGTTGTGTTTGTTAGTCACATGACGTCTCAGCACAATGAACACAACAAAGATCCTGGAACAAAACTCCTACATCTGGTTTAGTAAAATTAATCTAAGGTTTCTACTTTTGAATATTTTTATCATAAACAACCAGATAATGTTTACTGAGGGCCGATCAGTGGATCTCATGTAAGAACCGTTCGTACACAGATTTGTTCTTAAGTTGTGCGTACGAGTGATTTAGGAG